ACAATTGTTTTGGTAGATCTCTTTGCAAACTAAAATACTTTTCCTAGTGTATGAAATCTAAAGGCTTCATGACATTCTTGAGATTAGTGTAATAGCAATTCTACTCATCAGCCTTGTTGTACCTTGAAAAATACAAGATCAAAATATTTAAATTTACATTCACAGCAATACTACCCTCGCAAAAACTCCCAGATCATCTACAACACCCCCCATGTCACTACAATCTATTAGATTCTAGAAACAGAAGACATTCAGTACATTACATTGAATAATCAGCGAGACTTTAGTTTGAACAAGCACCTAATTGTTTTAAATGATCGCTTATTTTAACTGAAGAATTAAGCCCATGCTTAATTTTATCTGAAATTAATGAAATTTAATATTTCACTTAGAGCACTCAGCATTTAATTTCTAAGCAATTACTAACATTATCTGTAGTTGGATCTGAAAACTTACCTATAAATTCAGGTGATAGAACAGTTTTATAAACTATTGATATTTCATTTTCATTTTGGTTCTTAGGTATGGCTACCAGATTTAGACAGAAAAAAATCAGGACACCATTATCTGGGGTATGAACATTTTAACTCTTTGCTGCCATTCATGGTCATATGGATTTCTTCAGTCTAGACCTGATAGTCCTGCTTAAGCACCTGTTTTCAATTCTTTGCTACTTCCAGATGTCAGACTTTGATTCCCAACTATAATTTTCTCAGCAATAGACAAGATGGCAGAGGGATTCTGTGAGTGGTCGTCCACACACCTAGAAATTGCCCAGGTTGAGAAACACAGCCTTAGGAAAAAGTGAAGATAAATGTCCTCCAACACCAGATCAATCACTGACTTACCAGGTTTTCTTGGCAACAATACATAAGTAGTTTGCTATTTTTTCTTTGATATATTAGGTGTGACTTATGCTGTAGGACTTAAGCTCCTATAGCTCTGGAGTTTCCCCGTGAAATCCTATCCAAGTAATAATCAAGCCTAACCTTATGTAGCTTTAGAGCCCAGAAAGTTCAGCTCATTATGTCACACTCTGAGGCTGTTTAAAAACTCAGAATAAATACGTGAGGGAAGAAAGAAAGATGGAATGGAATGAATGAATGTATGTACAAGTCTGCTGGAGGGTAAAAAAAGGGACAGTGTGAGGTAACTGGGTCCCACATTTAAAGATTTAGCCCTCTCATGGTTAGAATTAATCTTCCTTAGAACATATCTTCTTCCCTTCTTAAAATCCAGGAATATAAGCAAGTCACTGGGGTTTTCCCATACTTTTTAGGGTCTTCATTTGCACATTTCTATTTCATCTCAAATATGCAGTACAAACTTACAGGCTTGGCTTTACTTTCAACTAAACATGCACAAAATAGCAATATAAAATTTCTACCAGCCTCTTTTATTTCCTAAATTCACAAGAGTGCTTCCTTTTAATTTTCAGCTATTTCAAAATTTAGGGTAATGGGAAAGGGCCACTTTCTCATACAGCATCACATTCTGCAATTGACTGGTTCAACAATCTCAAAACAAAGGACGAAATTGACAATAGAGCTGACAATTGGATAAAGAATAGTGGGAGGAAAGAGGCACTCTCAAGCAGGAAGTGGATTAAAGATGCAGTTCTGAGCTGCACTTGATCTACAGCAATACAGTAATGAACTCTTAGCATATATATTATCTGCAGACTGAATATGGAAACTAATGTAATACTGCCATATTACAGATTCCCACCTAACATCTATTCTGGGTAGAGGAGTGAGTATTACACATTCAAATAAACAAAACAGTAGCATTGAGTTGTTTCTTCAACTCTAAATACAATTATCCATCCATTCTGGCTAACAAAGTGGACTTTTTTTTTTCCCTTTTTCCTAGAACAGTCTTCATTCATTGACATTTCTTTGTTGAATTCTCTACAAAACTAGTTTATCATAACTTTTTTTTGACAAGGTAGACTAGCCATCTGGACCCATTCAGACTGCAAAATAACAATAGCTTTTCATAGGAATCTAATGCTTAACAGGACAATCTGAGAATATCGGATTAGAAAATATTTATTATTATTCAGAGTACTATAAAGTAAGAAATCTGGGCAATTAGATCATGAGCTTCGTCTGGGACAGGAAGGGTCAATTTGGGTCTGATAGGGTTAAGCAGAGATAAACTGGGGTTGACCTTGGTCTCATCTACAAGACTGGGAGTAAAAGAGTAGGGTTCCCTTTTTGTTTTTATATTTATTTTCTCCATACCAAAGTTATTAATCCCTAAGTTAATTCAACTAAATTAGTTTGTGATTCACTGCCTGGGATTATTTTCAAACCAAGTAAAGAAGGGATTTTATACCAATATACTCTTACTTAGCTACTTCTCATTCAAATTTATTTAATTCAAGATCACCCAGAGCTACTTCTAAACACGCCTTCATTCACAAAAATATTTTCCATTACAAATGAATATGTCTGCACCTCTCTATCTTTGATATTCAAATTGTTGCCATTACCATTCAGATCAGTTTATTGACTATAGTGATGAATTCTGATCAACCCCTCTCGGCAGAGGCCCCAGATTAGTGGAGTTGCTTTTGGTTCACATTTTGTACCAGCTTACAGAAGACTCTGCAAGTTGCTGCCTGTTTTCCTCAAGATTCAATCACATAGGAGGTAAGATGTACCTTAGTTTAGTGTTTATACCAGAAATAGATCACTTTCTTGCCTATTCTATTCTGTTATCCTTTGTATTATATTATTACTATTCTTACTATTATATGATGAACAGTTGATGGGTGGCATATTATGTATGGGATTTTATGCTTCTTTAGCTGAAGCTAAACAATAATAGAAGCAAACCTGGGGCAAATGGGATTCCAAACCAATGGAAGGAAATCACAAGAGTGTTCCAGAATCTTTATTTCTTTATATTCAGGAAATCAAGATCACTTTCTTGGCTAAAGTACTGATATGACACCTAAGCTTCATTCTGATCATAATTCTTAAGGGAAAATATTGCAACCTCAAAAGGAACCTCAAAAGCAAAATTTGTAACTCTGGTATACACATTTTTAGTTTTGGAAAGTTCGTGTGGTACTAAAAAAGTACAACTGGATTGAGTTTTCCTTCAGAGTTACTTTTACTTTTCACTTATTCAATGTGGTATCAATTATCTGAGTCAACCTATCTTCTGATAATGAGGAATAGAAATAATTCCAATCAAATGGTTAGAATATAAGGATAATTTCATACACACATGTGATACTAACTTAACAATGTCAAAAATTATTTGTCTATGAAGAATGTCAAGATCTGTGAAGACATTTCATGTACAGATTTGATGATGTGTAATTTGGCTTGTGAAAGGTACCCCAGTCTCCCAATACTTAGTCTCATTCCACAGGTATTCATCCCTGACACATAGATGTTTCAGTGATTTGGGATTCTGCTTTTAGCAGCATGGAATCTTACTCCCATAGGAAAGGCGTCATATAAGATTATCAGTCTTTGACCCAGTTGATGGCTTTCAAACAAGCTTGCCTTTTCTTTGGGACAGTAGGGATTACATATTCCTAGGATGCATTTAGCTCCTTCTGCCAGCAGGTCAGAGGCCAGAGTGCTCTAGAATTGAGGAAAGATGTGGTTGGCCTCCTTCTTTACTCCACATCAACTTGCTCTGTATTTTGCTTTAAGACTGTTACTCTTGCCTCAATGTCTTATTTCCTGCCATAGCATATTACTCCTAGAAAGTCTCCTTCACTGATGGTACAGCAATAAAAGGCAATGTAAGATTCCTTAACGGAAGGATCAAAGAGGAGGTGATGGTAGGCTAGTTTACATCCACTTTCTTAAATAAATAAAACCCGGAAGAGGCAAGGTCTTCTAAGAAAAGAAGCTATTGCTCAGAGTAGACCCATAACCTGAAAAAAAAAAAACAACTAAGCAAATAAACAAAAAGGAACTTTTACAACACCTCCACTGAAGCAGTTTTTCAGAGGAAAAGCCAGCATGGAAATGGAAATTGTGCTGAATTAATCATAAACCCCAAAGTGGTAATTAGAGAAGTCAATGAGGAAGGCCAGAGAGCATTTTGCAGGAGATGGACACCTGAGATTGCCTAAGCAAGAAAGGAGAGGGAGTTGGCTGAAGCGAAACAAGCCAGAATCATCACTACTCATACCACCAGCCATCCTCCCAGTTTTTCATGGGTCAGAGAACAGGCTGCTTTAAAAAACAAAAAAAAAACCAGAAACCTTTTCCCAGAGATTCCAAGAAGAGATGAGCTTTTAATATATGGGCTGCGGGGTGGGGGCTAGAGGTGACTTTGTAAAGAGGTGGATCCTTCCGGAAAACTACCCTTCCACCCAAATAAGCCATTTGTGTCCTTCGGGAAGTCGTCTGACGCCTTCCTTTTACTTGGACATCCGCCCGTTCCCTCGAAACCCCCCCCCCACCTCCACGTCCAGATTGTGACCCTGCCTCTGCCTGCTCGGGGTGTCAGCCAGAGCGCTTCACGAAAAGGCTGGCCCTCTGCCTGCAGCTTCCCCTACGAAGAAGGGAGGGAGCCTGAGAAACGCGCTTCTGCCGGGGGAAAGACAGCAGTAGTCCGAGGGAGGCTGGGCGACAGCGAGCATCCTAAGGGGGGGGGGAAACGCTCGCTTTGCTCCTATCGGTGCTTCAGGATTTACAGCACAAAGTGGCATCAAATAGGCTGCGGCAGACAAGACGGTCTCGGCCCCAGGGGGAAGAGCTGGTGGCCCTGCACGGGCCTTAAGATCTTGAACAGGAGACCTTCCCCTTCTTCCCGCTCCAGCCCGGCTCAGCCCGGCCCAGCGCGCTGCCGCTCCGTTTCTCCTCCCGCAACCCGCCTCTTGTTACCCTGAGGCACCCGAGCGCGAGGTGGAAGTGGGGGGGGAGGCTACCCAGCTCCGCTTTTCAGCGCACTCGAGCGTTGCCGGAGAGGGAGCGTCTGCCCGGGAGGATAACCCAGGCTTAACGCGGCCCTTATTCGCCGAGCAGGCAGTTCTTGGCCAGATGCCAGAAGCTTCCTCCTTCCTCCCCGCCACGCCCTGAAGTGCCCTGAAGTGCAGTGAAACTCCGGGGAATTTAGATCCGGATGTGGCAGGCGCGATCCAGTTAAGCCTGCCGTTTCTGAAGGGAGCAGTCCGCTACGACTACCCTGGCTCCTCGTTCAAGGCACTCGACGGTGTAAGAGCTCGATGGAGCAACTCGGTGACATTTAGAGTTTCAGGGGTTTGCCACCCGTGTGTGTGTGATGGAGGAAGTCATCTCAGAGCCCGACCTATTTCTCTTTTACTCCAAAGAAAGCCAGACCCCGCGGAGTTCAGCGAGGCTTCTGCTTCAGCCAAAGCTCGATCTACAATCTGAAAAGACGAATGCATGGACAAAAGTACCTATACGGTGTGTGTGTGTGGGGGGGGGGGAATAATTCCCAGCGCTCAAAAAGGAACTTGGCTAGGCACATTCAGGGGGATGGTGGAATAGGTCTGAATTAAAATCGGTCTAGCTTATGAGTAGGGATGAAAAGCAAGTAGGGTTGGTTTCCCCTGTGTCCAGGGGGCAAGGCTCTAACATGGGCAGCTCCTGTACTTTTGCCAGTTCGCTCCTTAGGCGGGCCGGTCGTGGGCCTGGCACTGTACTTAGGGAGGCAGCAGACAAGACCACAAGAACATGGTTGACTCTCGCTGTGCGTCCCAGGCTTGGCTGGGACCCAGAACCCTAGCTAACTCGCCAGCTCTGGATCCCAGCCAAAGCAGCCAGCTGAGAGGTATTGCTGCAGCTTTCCTACTGGTGCGTGCTTTGCCGTGGCTGCTGCTGCTGCTGCTGCTGCTTTCCGCTCCTCCTTTCGTTCCCGAGCAGTGCAGAAGCGCCTCCGCTCCGAGCCCCCTCGCTTCGCAGGGGATGATGGATCGTGCCTGGCGGGGGTGATTTGGTGTTGATCGCACATTATCGCTGGCAGGTTGGACTGGTTGCTGATGGACTGCTTCCCCCAGCGGCGCCCGCCCCCACAGCCCTAAAGAGAAGGATATAGAGAAAGCTGCTCTCGCCGTTTTTCTCTTTCAGCTCTTTCTCTCGAGTGAGAGTTGGCGCTTCTAGGGCAGAGACGGGCACCGCGTCCGGTCCCTACTCAAGAGAAAGTTGCCTTTGGGGCTGCCAGTGGTCGGGATCTGCAGAAGCTGCCATGTGCGTCGCTTTCTGTTTCCACCGTCGTCGGTCTTGGGAGCCTCAGCTCCAAAAGAGAACCCCGATACTGTCTATTCCACGTGACTCCAACGCCTTCCTCGGAGAAAAACGTTTGGCACGCCAGAGATTCAACGGGTAGCCCCGGTTCGGTCGACTTGTCCCCTCCGCCTAGAAATGCTGGATTTCTTCATCCGGCATCAAGAAACTCTCGACGTCCCGCGCTGGGAGCGTCTGCTGCCGGCGCTGTGGAAAGTCCCACTGCCACCCCCGTTCTCCCAGATCCCTGGTAGGATTTTATTGTCCTCGCTGGTGTCACTGCAAATGAGCAGGATTAGGAACTGGCAGCCTGCCACCTCTGCTGCCTGCTAGACGGAAAACCCAGTCTTGCCAATGGCACGTTTCTAGTCAGAGTGGAAAATAAACAGTCCAAACATATCCAAGCCCCAGCGCAATGTTTATTGTGATCGAAGGCTCCCTGGCAGGGATCCCTCTCGCCAGATGCTCCCAACACATTGGAAGGAAGATTAGCCGCTGCTGCCTTCGCGTATCAGGTTAAGCCACCGTGCGCTGGTTTGTATGAGTGGGATTCAGAAACAGGCCAGTTTCTGTGGAATGAAAACCAAGGCCTATGACTCATCCCGGAGAAAGAAACAAACAATTGGGTTTTGGTCAAGTATCCGAAGTCGAACAAATTATGGCTCAGCACAAGATGTGAATTTTAAAAAGATGGCCCTTTCCTTACTTCCGGTATAAACAAGCCACTGAATGCCGTGGCAATCCCTTTTTCCCACTTTAGTCAGAGGATACCGGCCTTATTTCTAGCTTGTGCTTTAAACAATATCAGCTCCCGGCCTTTTTAAAAATAGCTAAGTTTTTTTCTGCTCAATATGAGCATTAGTATAAGTGTATACACTTTCTTTCCCTTTCTCCTACCCATTCTGGATAGGCCTATTAGATCTGTACTGTACAGATCTGAACAATGGCAAAGAGAGATAAATTTCAATTTCTTTGCGGCCACCCAGTAGTCGTGGTCCGGAATTTTACGTCTTAGAACCGGAAACTTTATTGTGACTGGCCACACTTCATGAAGCAATGGTCGAGTCTAAGAGGAAGTGTCTCTGTGTTGTGAAAGAGGCAGAACATCAGCAAATCACCCCCTTAAAATATCCCCCCACCCCGACCACGAGAACAGAACAGGTTACTAGCTAGGATCGCAATGGATCAGAGCAATCTATCCCAGTGCAGGCGAGAAGTGCAGCAGGGCCAAGTTACGAGGAAGATCCCTGCTTCCTCAGTCTTTGCTGTCTTACGAAGGCAGCGCGGACTGAAACGAGCACGGCTCTTCTTACTCCTGTGCCAAGCCAAATGTAAGGCTGTGAGAATTGGTTCGATATACTGTGAAAAAAGAGCGGTTCGAATATTTTCCAAGTTCCACTTAGGTAACCCTCTCCCCAAGACCCCACCACCGCCACCCTCGGATTTCAGCCTCCCCGGTTTGTGGTGAAGCCGATGGTGTCTGTATGGAAATCACGTGGAGTGTACGAAAGAGCAGCACGCGCTCCCAGAGAGGAATGTCCTCAAGGGGTCCCTTTTCCGAACCCTCGGAGGCCCCCGCGCCTCGTTTGGCTACCAGCCCTGCGAGCGTGCCCGGGGACTTGGGCTTGGAAGACGGAGAGAAGTTCTTGGACTTCAGCACGGGTGCGATCGACCCCCACAGGACTGCGCAGGCGCTGGCGGTTGCCCTGAGCCTCCAGCTCTCCGAAAAGCCCTTTGGAATGAATGGCGGTGGCGGTGGCGGGAGCGGTGCTGGGCGTACTGGACCCTCTTGGAGCAGGTGAGTGGACGCAGAGGAGGCGGGAGTCGGCCAGCAGCAGGCGGATCGAAGCCGGGAAGATTAACCCCTGGGCTGCCGAGCGTCGCCGATCCGCCAGCTCGCCCAGCCACGAGCGTTCTCCCCTCAGTCCATCCAGGCTGTCCTCTTGGGCTGCTGGTGTCAAACCCGGGGGGGGGGCTGTCGAAAAGGGGGAGCGGGGGACCTTCCACCATCCCTCTCGGCTAGGAGGGGACGCCGGGCAAGCATGGCAGGCGGTTTTCCCAGCTCTCTGGGGTTAACTCCTCCCTGCAGGTTCAATTCGCTAAGGGTTGTTTTCTGTTTAGAAATCGGAGAAGCGAAGACTGTTGACAGGGAAGCTTTTCCTCTGGAGAGCTCAACAGCTGCTCTCGGGCAGGCAGCGCCTTGAAATCTATTTAAAGGGAGGGAAAGGGGAGGAGAACAAAGCGGAGATGGAAGAAGCCGGGAAGACAAGCCGAAGCTCGGAGGGGAGGGGAGGGGAGGGGAGGGGGAAGAGGTGGAGAACAGCTACGAAACGCCGCTTAGCTGTGAGCCCCGAGCTCTCACATCTGTACATGCGATCGATGGCAAGGATAATCCTGGTGAGCTGCAGACCTTCGCCTTCTTTGCTCCACCTTCTCATTCCAAGAAAGAGAAGACGGCGGCGTTGGTAATGAGGGCTTTCTGCCTCACAATCGCGTCCTCTCTGTTTAATAGTAATTAAAAAAAAAAAAAAACAGGAGAAGGGGGAAATCCCAAACCGAGCAAAATGGGTCGATTTACTCTCTGCCCGAATTCACAGTTGACTGGTGAAATCCAAAATCTTAGACTGAAGCAATCCGCCCTGGCTTGATAACTGGCTGCTTTTGTGATATGGCTTTGATGATAGAATAACACATTTTCCAAAGGAGTGAATTTAGGGCGTGTTTTGCAATACATACTAAGACGGTTGAACTGGGACCAGCCTGATGGAAGAAAACACACGCGCGCTTAACTGTAATTAAAGCCCTCGGGATGGGGTGGGGGGGGCGGTGTTTTTGACTAGATGTGCGTAGGGGCTGTGCTATTTCGGATAAGAACCCTAACTGCCTCATCCAGGTCAAAATATTTCGATGTGGTTTTTGTGGGAAAACCTCTCCCCCCTATTGAGTCCCAAGCCTTGAGATAATCAGCATAAATCTATTATTTCGATCCAACTGGCCTATGAATCTTTTCCAACAGAAGGCACAGTAGTGACCACGTTTATCACAAATTTATACTAGACCTAGCCTTTACTCTTAAAATAAACATGGGGGAAGAAGGAAGGCAAGTGGTTCTTAAATTGGTGCCACACAATATAAATAATGCAGTCTTGTCTTGGGTAGGGTTGCAGCCTTATCCGCAGCGAAGGCCACCCTTTCCCCACAACCAGACAAAACCTTCTGAGATGTCAATAGATAACAAGATAATTCTCCGAAGTAGCTGAACCTGACCAGGCGGGCTATTTTTTTCATGCCTCCTGGTATTAAGTGGGCTCAGTGGCTTCATTCCTAGTAGATTGGCGAAGGCCTTAGGATGGGCATCGGTGTCCCACGTGGCTGGTCTCCACTCACCCAGCTGGGTTATAGATAGGGTGGATTGCTGGGTCCTATCACGCAAACCCCCGCCAGCCCTCGGCCTCCCAGAGAATAGTTCACGCACATGGTCCGCATTTGCAGAGGTAACAGCCTGTTTCCTTTCGCTGCAGGCAAGCAGGCAGGAAGGGAGGGAGGGAGGGAGCGAGGGAGCAAAGAGGCTCCGGATCAGAGGAGGCCGATCCCAAGCCCCGAGGGCCTTGTGCACACACCGCGGTCTTCACCGCAAGCGAAGGCCCAGCGGATCTCGGCTCTCTCCGCTGGGCTGCGTCTCGGGCAACCTCCTCCGTCAGCGCAGCATGCAAATGTCCCAGCACGCTCCAAAGACCCCGCGGCGGCGGCTGCGAACTAATCGGAGCTCCTGGAGCTTCCTTTCAAGCTACCCTTTGTGCGTCGGCCCCTCCGAAGGCGAGGGAGGGAGGGAGGAAGTGGGAGCGTCAGTGCCTCCCTCTCCGCTGCATTGAGGGAAGGTGAGGCCTCCTCTGGGAGAGGAAAGGAGAGTCCCAGCTTGCGCTTATCAGTCCAAATAGAGGCTTTCAGGTGAGCAAAGGAGGGGGCAGGAAGGGTCGTAGCTGTTCCTGTCAGCTGGACCTAGCCTCGCAGCTAATTTTAAAATACAGTCTCCCTTCTCCTCATAAAAAATTAGCCGAGCAACTTTGCTTTCCACTAACAGGGATTGGAAGCTGGAGGTCAGAACAGAGTTGTGCCTAGGAAAATTTCCTCCCCACCCGCCATTTCCAAGCCAGTGCACTGAGCAGTGCTCTCTCAGTGGTAGAATGGATTACCGGGGATTGATACTACCATAATATTGTACCATATTATATGGAATAGCGAGTTATATGGAATAATTTGAAGGCAGCAGCCTATGGGCCCGTTGTTTCTGAACTAAGGTCCATGGAAGTCAGTGAGAGATGAGTTCTCCTAGCGAGCAGATCTGCACTGAGTGGGTAAAAGGAAACTCAGGATCATGTGCTTGTTCCTCTGTATCACACATTTAATGGCATGCGCCACCCATCCCATAAAAGGCATTTAATTTCCAAATATAGTGGCACTTTTTTCTTTAAAAGGAAAACTACTATTTCAAATTGATTTGCTACCCTTTTAATCAAAAAACGATAAACTGTTTTTAAAGAAACTTTATGTATCACCCAACATTGAACAGAGAGAACTTTTCATCTCAAGCAATGACCATGAAATGATATTTATCAAAGCTTAGCTGAGCAAAGATTATGGGCCAGCCCAGAGTAGAATCATGTCCTCTTTTCTCTGCTGCAGAGGCCTGTTTCCTGCATATAGGAAAGCGCCAGCATAAACAATCTCTGCAACTACTTTTGAGTTTAATTTTTTTTTCCAGCAGGGAAGCTGCTAGCCAGGAGCTCTGGTTCCTTTGCCTTGAATTGGATGATTGTTTGCATAAACTCTGCTTTACAAGAAAAGAATGGTTGGCATGGGGGGGGGGATATTGCTGCTTTAAGCACAACCATATTGGTGCGAAGATTTTTCAGTCAGCCAGGGCCCAAATATTCTTATACAGCACCCACTGAAGAGCGGTGAAAGTAGCAGGTTGTTTCTGAAACAAAAGTCATAATGAGAGCTGAAAAGCTGAGAAGGTACACCCAATTGGGTGTCACATTATTGTCCTCCCTACTAGGACACATTTCCCATAAATGAAGCTGCCATTTGCCCGTTCCTGCTTGGTATCCAGAGTGACAGAGACATTTTGATGGAAAGGACAGTGGTGCTGCAGCAAAACTATGTTGCATTCCATGTACTCACAAATTTTATTTAGTGCCCTCTTAAGAATCTCCCCAGCAGTCCTGTAATATTAGATGAGGTATAGACCGTCTCTTGCTCCGCAGATGTTAACTGCCTCCTCCCCACTATATAATTTGATGAGGGAGAGTGGATGCAGGGTCTCAAAGACCTCACTCCTCTGACAGAGCCAGTCCAATTGGCTGTAGCAGCCTGTTTGTTGGTCTCTCTTTGAAGCCAGAGGCTTTCCTCAAAAAGTTCTGCACTTTGCCTGCCCACATTGCCTTCCCTTGGCCTGGTCTCACCATGCTGATTGCCCTTTTCTTTTCTGACCACTGATTAGCCAGGGGAGCCCAACCACCCCCCTTCCTTACCCCATCTCTCCAGCTCTGGCCTCCTCTGCTCTCCTAAGAAGCCCCCTTTGCACCAGTTCTGCTCTGCTCTCCTAAGAAACCCCCTTTTCTCTACTCTGGCTTTTTAAAAGAGAAGGCTTGTTGTATTCTCCCATAGAGAAGCCCAAGGTTTTCCCTCACAAACAATGCTTACATTCAGCCTATACAGCTCCCTTCTGTGGGACTCTGGCAAAGAGAAGTACCATTCTTTATAGTTCGTGACAAAGAAATTGCAGCCCAACGGGACTAAGGGAGGCTTGCAAATTGGGCTTTTGCAGAATCAGAGGCGGAGATCTGCAAGCTGTCTTAAATACAATGGGCTCTGCCAGGAAAAAGAGGGCTCTTGAAATCACTTAAGCTGGCCTATCTGATGGGAATGCCTCTAACAGCATGAACCACCCAAGGGCCTAAGAGGAAATGCACCCATCTGGAGTGGTTCGATCACTCCTTGAAATCCATGGGTCTTTTTCCCAAGATTTTGATTGCCTATGGGAATATCTTGGTTCAAATCACCTTATTGTACAGTAAAACACAAGGATTCTATAGTGAATCAGACCAGTAGGAAGGGGTCTAAAGTTGCCAGTGGGTCATTAAGATTCAAAGTGTCCTGATTTGTTGTTGATTTTCTTCAGATATCTGGGGCTTACTTCTACATTACTTACTTTACTTTTTGGGGAAAGGAAGGGCAGATTAGTTTTTGGATGGAATGTTTTTTTCTCTCTCAAATGATAAGATTATTTCTCATTTCATCTAAACTGGACTGCACGCTTTTGTACATATTAACCAATTTAAGTTAATGGAAAACCCAAGTATATAGAATTCGTGAAGTTTGACTGTGATAGTAGAGCTGATCTTATTCTGGCAGTAAGGATTTTAAAAATATTAAACCAGATCAGGTCATATCTTTTGGATAGATTTTATTCACAATTCAATTTTAACTATAAAATAGCACAAGGTTCAGTGAAAAATATTTCTCTGGGCCAAATTCTTCTGTGTGTTTCATGAAATTGTGCTTTCTCCCAAGTCTTTCTTTATCCCTTTCACTATCTGAGGTATATGTATGATACTATCACTTATAGCAACTGATTTATGAGTTTAGGTCTTTCCACCAAGAACCCATGGATTGCACTAATCACTTTTTGGAGGTCACCTGGGGCAACTGTGGCTGGCACTGAGTGTTCCTGTTATGCTGAGGGCTCAGGGCAAGGGAGCTTGGAGGCCCAAGGTCAAAGGTCTTGGCCTTTGACTGGATGTATTGAGGCAGATATTGGAGGATTTAACACTTGGTACACTGAGTTGCAGCACAGCAGCAGCCAAGGCAGCTTGGAAATGTCTCTAGTTAGTTCACTAGAAAAAAAGCTCCCCCCCCCCAATAGTGGAAAGAGAAAGCACTTAATGGACTGGGTTGACTGGGAACTGTTCCCCACTCCTTCCCTCCCTGGCTAAGGATCATAAAGGTATTTGTTTTATTTCTATGAGAATAATTGGTAGCTAGCCCTCAGTTTCAATCTCCCAAACATCATGGTTACTTGGTCAAATGCTGAGGTGTCTGTAGTTATGCTTTATCAGTTTTTAAGGATCCACAGGGTCTGCAAATCAATTTCTACTTGTTATTGCTACATGCAAGGCAAAACAAAGCCTTGATTTTACAAGATATCACTGAGAAGTCCAGGGGATGTGTATGTGCCTCTATATCAAATTTACTCCAGTTATAAGCAGAGCACAAGGAATGGACATAGGTATGTCCTGAGAAGTTCTCTTTAATAAGTATGGACTGATTGGGCTTGGGGGGAGGGGAGGAGGGTCTGTACTTTAGTTCTGCTTAAGTTAAAATGCTAGTCCACAAGAAGTGGCCTTGGGCTCCAAATGGCCTGGGGCTATTATAATCCATGAGGCAGTAGAAGGTTGATATGTCCAGATAAAATGTGCCTTTGACCACGTGGAGGTTACTTTGTGTTGCAGTCCCCCTAAAGCAGTGTTTCTCAACCTTGACAATTTTAAGGCATGTGGACTTCAACTTCCAGAATTCCACAGCCAGCAACGCTGGCTGTGGAATTCTGGGAGTTGAAGTCCACATGCCTTAAAATTGTCAAGGTTGAGAAACACTGCTAAAGGGAACAAGGCTGCATAGGAGAAATGGGTCATTCAGACCCACTCTCCCTTAACCAGTCAGGAGGTTCTTCTCTTTCTCAGCAGACTGTAATTGACCTTGACTGCTCTGGCTGGACCGTTGTTCAGCTGAGGGAGGCTGAAACACCCAGAACGTTTTTCCTTCCTCTCCCCTGTCTCACACTTTCTCTTTCTGTGGCTCCTCCAGCAACTGGTCTTGGGAGTGTTATTTCTATCTTTTGAGAAGACCACAATTCTCTCTGTGGCGATTCCTTCCCACCCAGAGAGGGACCTCGGGTTGTAGAGAAGCCAAAAAGCAAGGTCTGAGGAGGATCCTCTGCTGTTGACTTCTAATCTCTCTCCGTCCCCCCCCAAAAGAATTGCCAAGCGTAACTATCACTTACTTTCTCTCCCAAAGGTGCTGGAGCTTGGATTTAAATGGGGGTAAAAGGGCAAGGACTTCCGTTGGGCTATTGCACCAATTGGATTCTGGCATAATAACTTTGGGTAGGCCATGGGACCATTAAAGAACAACAATGAACGAGGGGCGCCGCCGCCGTGTTCTAGGGAGCCCTGCAGGGGGAGAGACCTCTAGGAAACCATAGGAGATGGCGGGGGGGGGGCATGAGATTGGCCCTCTCAGGAAGAAGACAGCTTTCTGGGTGTGTTTTTTTCTTTCTTTCCCCTTTTTCATGACCGCATGCCTGCTGACTGTTATATGCAAGGCATCGCTGTAAAAGCCGAGCATGTAAATAGTTGCCTAGGCATTGAAACGCTAATATAAAGGCAGAGCGCCGTGCGTTTGACCGCCTTTGGCAACTGAGCTGAGAAAATGCAGCACAACATTTGGAGAGCGAATGGATTCGGAATGGAAAAGTTGATTGCCTGGGAATCGCAGTCAGGCCCCTGATTCAAACCAGCGGCTGTGGGGCCGGGGCTACGGCTCTCCGTCGATTTTAAAGGTCTCCCCCTGAGGGAGATGGGAGGGTCTGGAAACACGAAAGACAAATAAATAAGTCAACTATTTGAAACGGAGGAGTTTACTGTGTCCTCGGAATTCAGAAAGGAGTTGTGCAAGAAGGCACGGAGAGAGCCTGGCCAGGCGTGGCTTCGCTCAGGTCTCCGCGAGTGGAAGTTCGGAGAGATTGCAGAATTCATCTTCTGCTTCTTCCCGGCTGCCTGTTTGCCCGGGACGCATCGCGCCTGCGCACAGATCCCCCCAGAGGAACGCCTGCTCAGGAAGCGTGCCCTGAGCTTTCCCTGCCGCCCTGAGCAGCCTCTCCGGCATCTCGTTCCAGCAAGGCATAATGCCACATTAATATGAAACGGCTTGCTACACAAAAAGGCGTTGCTAATTAGGAAATTGATGGGAAGGGGGTAGGGGGCTGCGCGCTTTGTATGAGCTGCCTGTCGGGAAGATGGAACAGACGATTCCCCTTGTTCTGGGGCTCCCCAGCTTTACAAAGTTTTAGAGGCTTTAAAAAAAAAAAAAAAGCAACAAGAATCTGGACGTGCAGATGGAAGACTCAAGGCCGCTCTAACAGCTGCTCTGTGCTCCGCAGTTTGCCAGCTATGCCCCTTTTGACTCCCCCCTACTTGGATCTGAGAGGGTATCTTTCTAGCCACTCCAGCAAAACTCCCAAGGCCTGGTTCTCTCGCTGAGCTGGAAAAGCATAGCCTGGATTTGTCATATTGCCAAGGAGGGTCTTACATTGTGGGATTCCTCACCCTTGTCATTAAGACAAAATAGTCACTGGAGGTGGAAATCTCACATGCCAAAGAAACCCTTGTTTTGGACAGAGTTTTTGATGTACAGCAGGGGTAGTCAACCTTGGCTCTTTTATGACTCGTGGACTTCGACTCCCAGAATTCCTGAGCCAGCTGTGCTGGCTCAGGAATTCTGGGAGTTGAAGTCCATGAGTCATAAAAGAGCCAAGGTTGACTACTCCTGATATACAGTAACCAGATCTCTCTCTCTCTCTCTCTGCCCAGTCTTATAACATTCCCTCCCCCAAAGTTCTGTAGTCTCTAGGGTCAGGTTTTCTCTCTTAGTGAGTGATGGATGGAGTTTATCAGATTCTCTGGTATTTTGAAGAAATTTGGACATCCCATTTGCTCAACATGTTGCAGGTCAGAATCTGTTATGTTTTCTTTGTGCTGCTTTCATCTGACCTTCTCCTTTGACCTCAGCTTGTAAAATAAACAGAAGAAATTTTCATTCCCTGCATTTGAAAATTAGTTTACTGCATGGGTTTCACATCTACAGGGATACTTTGCTTGCATTTTAATTGGTTTTTATGTCATTGATTTCTGCAAC